GATAGTGTCAAAGAATTAGCCGACTAAGGGTGTCGTTGGTTACTCTCGGCTAGATCGGTAGTTTTAGCCGATGGTGCCCGTCACTAGTGCATCTTACGGGTGTATCGATGGTTGTTGGTTTTCCCCTGTAGTGGTTGCTCTCATAATTCTTTCGCGGTTATTGGTAGCGTTGTTTGTTGTGTTTGTAGGGATTATTGTTCGTAGGTTTTATTGGGTAGTGGCCAAGTTGGACTAGGTAGTTAGAAAGTAATGCTGTGTGTGTGTGTGGGTGCGGGTATTCGTTCGTGTCTGTGTGTACGGTATGCTCTGTGTTTTAATGGGTGGTGGTGGATTGTTTCATCGTTTTATTTGTCGGGGGTCTAGGTGGTTATTTTCTACGTTTCGGGATGTACGCGGGGTTGGGTGTGTACAGGGTCTGGTCTGGGTTTATGTTTTCCTCTCCTTCTTTATTGGTTTGTATCGTCTTTATTCTTTTGCTTTGTTTTATTTCTTTTACATTTGTTCGGGTGTGTTTATACTTGTTGTACATTTGCGTGTTTGGGGGGGTGTCGTTTCGTTTATCTCCCTGTTCGTGGCGTCTCTTATGGTTGGTCCTGGGGTTTGGTTCGTGCTCTGGGGGGCGTAGTTCCCTTCCCTGTCGGCTGTCGTTGCTTCGTCTTGTCGTCGCTCCGTCCCTCGTGTTTCTGGTTTGTCCTCGTGGTCGGTGTTCCTTCTTATGGTCGCGTCTTCAAAGTCCTCGTCTCGGATTTCTGTAAGTTTGTTGGCCTCGTTGTTTGTGAATACGGGTGTCCCTTTGGCTGTTAGGATGTACATTCTTTGTATGTCGTGTTTGTCCAGGGCCAGTTTGTTTGCTCGCTTCCTGATTGCCTCCAGTGATTTTTCGTCGATCTGTAGCTTGATTATCTTTCCTCCCCCGGCTGTTCTCTCGCTTATTGCTGTCCATTTTGCGGTGTTTATTTCCCTGTTGAATCGTCCTATGGTTTTGGCGATGTTGTACTTGTTGAATCTGGAGTGTGTCACCTTGCCCTCTATCGTGAATCTCCGGTCGGGCGCTGTCTCGTCGTCGGCCTTTAGTCTGACGCCGCTCGGCATTTTTATGTGCTTTGCTGCTTTCATCAACCAGTTCGCCGTAAATGTTGTTTTGCATGTCACTGTTATGCCGCCGTTTCTCCTGTAGAACTCCTCGAATTGTAGGCATTGGGTTTGTACTCCTTTTGCCGATCTTATCCTTGTGTATCGTTCCGCGCAGTTCGCCAGTGCGTCTCTGAAGTCTTCGTAGTCTGCGAGTGTCATTTTGGTCTCCGGGTGGTCCTCGGGTATGATTGTCCTCCGGTAGTTTGGGATTTTTCTCGTTCTCTGGTCTTCTGGGTTCATGGTTGTTGGTTTCCTCGTTCGTCTCGGGGAAGCACTATTTCCGCTCTTGTGGTTTGTCTCCGTATTTATAGCCGTTCTCTGGGCTCGGCTCCCCCCTGTCTCCTTCCGTCTCTCGTGTTTGTGTCGCGGGGCGTGGTTTCTGTCTCGCCTGTTTCTGGCTCGTTTTCTGGGCCCGTTCCGTTTCGTGTGTTCCTCTTTCCGCGGGTCTCCGGTTTTTTGTTCTTGTTTCTCTCCCTGTTGTTTTATTCTTGTCTGTTTGTTACCGTTCGATCTGTTTGAGCACGCATTTCCGGGATCGTGATCGATTACGATTATTAAATGAGCACGGTGGAAGGTGGGTTTTGTTCAATCGGGGTGTACCTTTGGGAGGATCTGTCTGTCGGCTACGAGGGGGTCGTAGGGGATTTGCCTAATCCTGTTTTATAATTGTCCTCGAGTGTGAGTGTATAAGTATGTTTTGAAGTAATATGATGATCGGTTAGCTGTATTTGAACAGCGTTGTTGTTGTATTGACTATGGGATAAAGTGTGGTTAGTTAGAGTTTCTCGTAAAATATATTTTGTTTTTGTGGTATGTAGTTGGGTCGGTGTGTATAGTGTAACAGTGTGTTTTGGCAGGAGATCTTATTTCTAGTTTTCCGATACGTCTCCGAGAAGGTCGTGAGATCCCCCAGGGATTAACCCTTTCGCTACGGCAGTCCGTTCCGCGGCAGTAGCGCCGCTGGACGGGGCACCGAGCCGTGCAGTGTGCACATTGCGCATCTGTAGGTTTCGATGCTCGCACTTACGTCTTTCGATGGCACTTTGGAATTCTCTTGTGTGTATACTTTCTTAAGAGTTATGTAACAACTGTTTCGTCATATTATATGAAAAACATAAAAATGAGTACATTGTGAGTATTCAGAAATTAATATATTAACAAATTTTACTATTATTATAAATAAAAATACAGTTACTGTAGTTAGATATCAAATTATACAATAATTCTTAGTATTGTAACTCAGTGTGATAAATTCTAAAGCAAGGTTCCACGCAGAGACCAACATTACAATCTTTACACTCATATCGAGACTCGCGTCTTTTATCATTTGCCGTGCAGACGACGCACCTTCTATTTCGGTTTTTTCTTTGTGGTTTATATAGTGATGGAAAATGCCGTTCTATTAGTCTTAATGGATTGTTCTTGCTTTTTTGATGATGATAAGACATATTCATACGATACTTTTGCAGTATTTGTCGGATTAAATTCAAGTGAAATTTGGCCATAGATATCGGTTTTCGCGTGTTATGCTTATAAAGACAATATGCATTCCACACGCATATGTCCAGCAAATGAAAAAAATATTTACGGTACCATTTTAGAGATTTCCGTGTCGAATTTATAGTGCTTAGCACCATGTCTGCTTTGTCGACTGAACCCATACAATTATTATAGTCTATGACGCATAGAGGTTTTTGAATAATTTTTTTTCCTCCACGCCTGACAACCGTTGCAAACTCTGAAGTATGCATAGTGGATAGCATATACACTTCTTTTTTATCCATCCATTTTATAACTAATAAATTTTCAGTTGAACGGGAAGATGCCTCTCCTTTTCTCAGTGTATCAGTAATCTTTGGCATTCCTTGTCGCCTTTTTGCTACGGTCCCGCACGCATTTGTATGATTATTATGTAAGAAATTAAACAAGGCTGGACTTGAATACCAATTATCTAGGAAAACTGTATGTCCTTTTCCAAGATAGGGCGCCATTAGTGCTTCTACTATCGCTCCCGATTTTCCGATTTTCTTATTTTGGCTGTTGATCATAGTCGATGATCCGGCATAAACAATAAGATCCTGTATATAACCAGTTCGACAATCACAAAGAATAAATGATTTTATCCCAAATCTACTTCTTTTTGAAGGAATGTATTGTTTGAATGAAAGCCGCCCTTTATATAGAAGTAAACTTTCATCGATGCATAATTTTTGGTACGGATAAAATGATTTACTGAAATTTTTTCGGAGCATATCAATCACGTTCCTTATTTTATATAATTTATCATTGGTAGATGTGATATTTTGGTTGAAATGTAGCATAGATAACAATTTAAAATAGCGATCTCTAGGCATAATCTCTCCAAAAATATCACTACGCAGGAGTTTGTCTCTACTCCAGTATTCCCCTAAGGACAACTTCTTGTTGCGTGTCATTAGAAATGACACAGAAAAAAAACAATATATTTCGGATAGTGTTGTTGCTTCACCATCTTTCATATTATTGTTATTTTTTTTTAACCGATAGTCATTTGTTTCATTTACAATAAATTGCACGATCTCGTTTGAAAGAAAGAGTTCAAAGTAATTAATTATTTTTTCTGATCTTCTAATGTTTAATATAATTCCTGTATTTTCTGGGGTAAATGGATGTAACTTAGGGATGAATGTGTTTGACAACCACGAATCGCAATAGTCGTTATTGTCTCTCTCATTGTTCTCTATTTCTGAGTCTGAGATATTATATGTATATCTTCTTTTTTTGCGCAGAGTGAAATTATCCTCGTTTTCACTCTCGGAATCATTTTCGGAATCAGTTAATCCATTCAAAAACATAATTCTTTTTGAACTCCGTCCTGACATTCTAAGAAGGGTGCAAATAAAAATTAAAAGACAAATTTTACGCAAACCTACAACTAAAATTTGTAGATAAACGTTTATAACCTCTACATTTACCTCCACTGTAAAAGTAGACAATAATCTTTTCAACCTATATGTTGTCCGACTTATATCGGTTCAAGAGAGATTTTGTATTATAATCCTTGTTTTTTTATTATAATTTCGTGCCTTACAAATAC